CGTCCGCTCTTCTTATTGGTGTAGGATACTGCACTTTTCACCTACCACCTGACATGACAGCTTTTATGGCTGTACCCATTTGTATATGGACGAGAGCACTCTGCCAGGAACCAGGTCCCCGCATTTGTGAGGATCATCAAAACACCTAGAATATAACAACCATTTTTCTAGAGATCCACTAGGCACTATCATATTTATTACTCCTTCAATGTCATTTTTATTAAAATTGATAATTTATAATATTTTTACAAAATTAATTAATGACAATTTTTTTTTCTATTTTATCCTTGTGAGTTATTGATCTTGAAAATATATATTTGATTAACATATAAATAATTTATATTTAATGGTAAAATTAATTAATTTTTATTCATTGATTAAGAAAACATTAAATAAAGATAATACTCATGAAATCTACAATAGGTCCAAAGTAGATAAAGATTCTTATTCAATTTCACCAAAACCTATTATCACAATGACTTTACAAACATACATTAATGTTTGTTTTTTTCTTGCTTAGAATGACCAGATATTTTTTTCCACACATATTTTGGAACAATCAACGTATGCTAGAAGTAAGAATAGTCAAACAAATAGCAATAAATTTTTTTAAAAAAAAAGAAAAAAAAGGTAACTTGTTTTGACTAGTTTCATGGACTCCAAAGAAGAAAAATCTCCTTCCATACGCACTTGCACTCCATATTTTCTCTCATCAACTTCTCTATGTAGCATTGAAATGAAGAACAATCATTGCTTTGTGCTTCTCTTTTCAATGGAAATTGTTGTCATGTGTCCTTTTTTCTTTTTTGCTTAAATGTGCTAGCCAACACCTACACTTGCGTTTGGTTTAGAAATTACACCCTCCTTTCATTTTTATTTATCACCATTTGACGGGATACACTCATTGATAAAAATAAGTATTGACATAAATATTTTATCAAATTATATCTATTAAAATAACTTTTAGTAAACTTCGTTCATTTTACTTGTTGCAGATTGATTTGATACACCTATTATGAAAATAATTATTAAGATAGATACTTTACCAAATTATCGATATTAAATGATGTTAAGTATTAAGTCTTGAAAATTTATTTGGGAAAAGAGCATTTGATGTTGGGTAAAACATGAAAAATGTAAAAAAAATAAAATAATAAAATTGATATGTCAAAAGTGACAAATAAAAAGTAAAATATATTTTAGAAATAAATGACAAGTAAAAGTAAGCATGCATGTATTAAGTCTTGAAAAATATTTTTTTTTAAAAAAATATTTAATAAAATGTAAAAATATAATTGTCATTTCTAAAAGTGACAAGCTTAAAAATAAATAACAGAATTGAATAGAGGGAGGGAGTATACACTTGTATCAGTTAATTATTTTCTTGTAAATAGTATTGTTTTTTGAAAATTTGCGTTTTAGCCCATTTATTTCTCAAACTAATTCTTATAAGTGATTTGAAAAAGAAACTTTTTGTAGAAAATAATGTTAAAAGAGTATTTCCTTAAACTCAGTATTAAGTAAATTGTTGAGAAATTTATAAATTAAGAAAAGTGAATTATTTAAATTTTAAAAAAGAAAAAATGCATAAGTACCCTTTTAGACTATGATCGGAATTTTAGAAATACCTGAATTTAAGTAGAATTCTATTACCCCATAAATAAATAGAATAAATACACCACAAACGCTGACATGTCCCGGAGAGTATGTACGCTTTCTTGAAGGCAAGTGATGAGTGCACAAATTCGACACATGTCATTTTTTAATTGGTCACTTTATAATTAGTTAGTTCACATATTTATTGATAATAAAACTTATATATATTTAATTATTTTTGGTTCTTTCTCGTAAAAAAATTATTTTAATTTTTTTACTTTAAATTTTTTAATTTATTATCTTTTCACTTTCAATTATTTTTAATAAATTGTGTGTATTTTTTAAAAAAAATTAAAAGGTCCTTTAATTTTAATGTTTTATTTAATTTTCTTCATGTATTATGATATCCGTTTAAAATTAACCTATATTAAATACAAGAAATTTGAAATAAAATCAAAAGGAAAGACAAAAAAAAAACTCAATAGAAAAATAAAAGAGAAAAAAATGAATGTAAGTAAAAAAAAATAGTTAAAGTAAAAAATTGAATGTAAGTAAAAAAAAAAAGTTTTGGTACAAGGTAAAAAATGTTAACTAAATTTAAATACAAGATAAAAAATAAGAATTTTTTTCTTTAAAAAATTATTTTTAAAAAAAATTATGAAATATTATTTTGAAAAAAATTAAAAAATATTTTTATTTTTTAAAATAATTTATAATTAAAAAAATTATTTACACATGGCGGGACGAGTGTGTACAAACACAACCAACTTGGATGGTTGAAGGTGCCACATAGCATAAAAGGTGCACAAAAATACGAATAAAATGAGTTAAGAGGATGATTGGATCTTAGTTAAGTTTAGGTGTGTCTCTGAAATTTCGGTCATAGACTAGGGGTACTTATGCATTATCTCTTTGAAAAATTATGAAATTCTTTTTCATATTTATTTTTTATTTAGTAATTAAATATTTTTTAAGAGAATAATTTAAGAACAATTAAAAAGATAAAAATAGTAAATAATATTTTATATATTTTAAAATATTTTTTTTAAGAAGCATACTCCCTATAAATTATTTAATATGAACTAGAGAGAGTATTATTCATAAGTAGTGGCATACAGAATTGAACAAAAAAATTAAACTAGCAGTAAATTGAGTCAAATTGAAAAAGAACTCGATTAGTAATTTGATTTGATTTAATTTAATTTGTATTAAAAAAATTTGATAATATTTGGATTGATTTGGTTTTACTTAAAAAAGTTAACCCGAAATTAAATTAATCCGACATTATATATAAATTTTAAAATTTATTTTATGTATAAAATTATTTACTTTGATATAATTTCTAAATATTCCTTATTACTTTTTCATATATATATATATATATATATATATATATATATATATATATATATATATTTATATATATATAAAACATAATTTTTTCAATTTTTTTTAGACTTGGAATTTCTAATATTCCAATAAAGGTTATATTACATAGATATTAGTAACTCTAATAAAACTCAATTCAACATCGAATAAATATTAACGCTAACAAAAAAATTAATTTAACACTAAGAATGACGATAATTTTGAATATTTTTTCTTTAGTTCTACGTTGGTTTAGAAAATTAAAGTACATTATCTAATTTTAATTTTTATCTAATGTTTAATCATGTAATTAATACTTATTAGACTTATTTTAGCATGATTTAGTATTTTCAAATTATGATAATTTTCATTATCACTTATTAATTTGGAACATTTATTATATATGATTTCGTTATTACTTTTGTTGAATATTTTGTTGTCATCACTCATCTCATATTTTGTGTTATTTTCTTAAGGAATATCTTAATAGTTCTATTTTGGTTGGAGCGAAGAAATATTTGGAGCACAAGTTAATTATAAACTTTGTTGGAGAAAATCTAAAAATTCAAAAAACCTAAGGTTTATTAGTTTGATTTGATTTATAAATTTAAAATTCGACATAAATAATTTGATTTGATAGTTGAAAAATTCGATTCATGTCAAAAAGTTTGAGATTTATTATTTTAATTTGATTTATAAATTTAAAAATTTAACACAAATAATTTAATTTAATTTAATATTTGAGAATTTTAAATTAACCCAATCATATAACCATATTCATGCGTTAAGTGAATCTTATATAGAATTTCATTCCATCAGGCATCACCCCAATCAGATTTTGTTGTTAGGCTCACTATATTTTTAAGGGAACAAGACAATACATCCTTCAATTTTATTGTAAATAAAATTTGATGTATTCTTTGTTAAATAAATAACACGTGTATAATTTTATTTTTTTTCATTTCATAAGTGAAGCAATTTACTTTTTTCATTTCATATTTACGTAAGTGAAAAATAAAAATTCAAAAAAAATATTTTTTCACAAAATTAAAAAATAATAATTTAAAATTAATATTTTTCACGCCGTTAAGATAGATCTAAGATCATTTGTATAATAGTAGAGATATATGTTATCTATTTATCTCCTATATCATGTAACTTTATTTGGGCTTATTTAAACAAAGAGACGTACACTAGATGCATTCATAAAATTAGAACAAGTTAACTTTAAGATTAAAACTAGAACTATATTATTTCAGCATTGGTCAAGCTATTCATATCATAATTAAATACTGATATTGACAGATGACAAACTATCCTAAAGAAAAAATGAATTCTAAATTATGATTTTTATTTCAGAAAATTCTGTCAATCTTATTTTTCAACAGCCAGCCACTCATTCATTCTAGCAACAAATTGTGTAGGTAGCCATAGAAATGAAGAAGAGCTACTCAATTCTGATACTTGTGCAGTTTTTATGCTTTAGTCTTTCACTAGGAGGGGACACCATTTCTGTGAATGTATCTGTTTCTTCAGGCCAAACAATTATGTCTTCAGGTGGGAATTTTGAGCTTGGTTTCTTCAGACCAGGCGACTCTCGATCCTATTACATAGGCATATGGTACAAGAAACTATATCCTCAAGAAGTAGTATGGGTTGCGAATAGGGATAAACCACTTGATAGTGCTGATGCTAACTTGATAATTAGTCGAGGCAATCTGGTTCTTGTCGATAGACTTCAAAACTCAATTTGGTCTGCACTTGCTGGGAACATCAATCCAAATATTTCAGTTACTGCACTTCTTCGTGATGATGGGAATTTGATTTTGAATGATGTGTCCAAGGCATCAATGCCCTTACTACTTTGGCAAAGTTTTGACTACCCAACACACACTTTTTTGCCTGGTGCTAAGATTGGATATGACAAACGGACACAAAGAAAACAGCTTCTGATTTCATGGAAGAATTTGAGCGATCCAGCACCAGGATTATATTCCATGGAAATGGACCCAACGCGTGCTCAAATTGTTGTAAAATGGAATAGGACTAGAGAGTATTGGGCTAGTGGTTCATGGGATGGCAGGACATTTAGCTTAGTGCCTGAGATGAGGACAAACTACATATATAATTTCAGTTATATCGACAATGAGAATGAGTCGTATTTTACATATTCCCTTAACAATAGTTCACTCACATCAAAATGGATGATGGATGTCTCCGGACTAATTAAGCAACAAGTATGGTTTTATGGTAACATTGATTGGAATCTG